CAAGGCCGCGACACCAGCAACCATAGGGGTCGACATTGATGTACCACTAGTTTTGTAGTACAAACCTCCGGGGACCGTCGAGTAAATATCCACACCGGGAGCAGCAACCTTCGTAACAAATCCAGCGTTCGAGAATCCGGCAAGAGAGACCGGTTCGGTTGGATTAGAAGTACTGGCAGCCACACAAAGCATGGATGGGATGTCCTCTGCAAGGCAGCAAGGATAAGTTCGGTTCTTCTCTAGATCAAGTGCTTCATTGCCAGCAGCAGCAACAGCAATATGTCCAGCAGCAGCGGCGTTCTTGTATGCAGCCTTCTGGAGCTCACTTGTGTTATACCAGCGGTAAGAATGAGAGGATACTGTTGCACCATTTTCAACTGCGAAGTTGAGGGCCCTCAGCGAATAACTCAAAAGGCCAACACCGGAATCGTCGAAGATCTTCAATACCATCAGCTTAACCTTCGGCGGTGGGCCTTCAATGTTAGCCACTCCTGCAATGCCAATGCAGTTATTAGTCTGGGCGACCGCACTGCCAGCGCAGTGGGTACCATGGCGAAGGACATCAGTCACATTGGTATTGTTCTTGGCGAAGTTGAATCCAATAGACCCGTCAGCTGGATTTCTCCAGAACTGATTGACCAGATCAGGATGAGTCGTATCAACCCCCGTGTCAATGACGGCCAGCACAACATCTTTCAACTTCAACTTGGCACAACGAGCCGCTCGCCAGGCAGCTCCCAAGTGAATGACTTCGAGATAACGCTGACAAGAAGAGCCGGGGTCGTTGGTGCCGAGAACAGGATTGCCACCAGTACAAGTAGCTGAGGCTTGAACCATACTGGGCATAGGATCCAGGATGATCTTCACATCGGGCTCGCAATCGAATTCGATGCCCAGCACATCTGCGGCCTTTTTCAAGTAGTTCAGAATACTGTTGTGACCAACTGAGCATGTCGACTCTACAATCTGGACCCCTATTGCCTTCAAGTCATAGACCATACCATCCTGCGTGAAGCATCGTTCACACTCGAGGTCGTCTTGGCTGAGGAA